ATAACAATGATCAGCCTTTGAGCTGAGAATGAGATCGGTGTCTCTTCTTGAACAAGCCTTTACTTTCTTGCACATCTAGCACAGGTCTTCCTGTGAAGGACAAGACAGCAAAGTCTCTGGAAGTATGCAGGCAGGTAGAACATTTTAACTGCAAGCACGTTCGTGCACCATGGCCATGCCCACACCCTCAGAACCACGTCCTCCTCTGCATTGCCATGCCTGCCCCATTACCACGCCCACATTCAGAGTTACGATCTTGTTCAAGAATCATCCCCACAACCACATTCATGCCCAGAACCACACCCTGCTCCACAGGGCCAAGCCCACCAAGAACCACACCTACCTCGGCAGAACCACATCTATCCAACAACCACAACACCTGACAACCACGCCCACCTGACCCCACCCCCAGCCCTGTGGTGAGCAGGAGCCTTCTAGGCAGGATCTCTTGTCTCCCAGATCTCTGCATTAGCTATCCCCCACACCCTGCCTTCCACATCTCCATAATGAAAGCAGTGTGAACACATGCCCATGTTCCCATGGACACACATGTCCATCACAGAGCACACAGCCCTCTATCTGCCTGGTTCATTGCTGCTAGGCTGCTAATCCTCCAAGAGAGATCCATGGCTTTGCACTTGGACGTTTTCTTCCCTGCCTAGCTTCTCAGGCAGCCTGGGGGGGCTCTGAAGAGCAGACTCCAACTGCCAACCACCTCTCAGCACACTGCAAAGTTATAACCTGAAGGATCCACTCTGAATGGATGCATCATCCCTCTTATCAGTCCCTGCCCAGGCTGGCTGAGCCCTTGGGAACAGGAACAAACTACCCCAACATTGGTTTGGAGATGGGAAGGAACCAATCACCTCTAGCCACAGAACCCTAGGCAAGCCCTGCACAACACTCCAGTGTGCATACTGGGCTCCGGGAGAGAGCATACATTCTGCAGTGTTCTCTTTTACACAAACAAGGACTAGTGTATGTCACTCTGCTGTCTCCCAGGAAGATTATTAGGCATGGGGAATGACGGCAATGAGTGAGCCGTTGATGCTGCCTGCAATCTCTCTATGGCACAAAGCTGCCAATTTCTGAAGCAAATGAGTTCCGTCCCCTCCCTATTTAACACCAGGCCTGCCATTTTCACAGGACAGAGGTAGTTCTGTGACAGAATTCTTGTTTCCATGAGAGAGTCCCAGGTTTGATTTGTGGCCAAAGCAGCTAATGAGCAGCTGCCACTCATCTGTCAGAGGAGGCCTGTGTGTTGCTATGATGCTCCACAGGCTTCCAGAGATCCAGACTGAGGTACACAAGGAAGAAGGACCTGGTGATCTACTTCTGAAAATCATCTAAAGAAAACCCTATGGCTCACACAGGTTGGATTCCCAACACATCTGGAAATGGTGCAGAACCAGGCAGCATTCTGTTCTGATGCTCATTGTGCCACCGTGAGTCAGCACAACTCCACAATAGCTAACAACAACAACAGCCACCATTGTCTGTCAGGAAATCATATGGACTTTGATCAAAGGCAGATGTCCACTCTGTTTGTTCATGGACAAGACCTGCCAAGCAAGTATCACCACAAATCTATAAAGGGGACAATGACAACAGGAATGATCCAACAAAGCCACATCAGTTTGCTTCAAAAGTCAGGTCTGCATGTTAAAAGTCTACAGTGTGAACATTCAGGGTAATTTTAGCATTCTATGATGACCCTGAGTGAGCAAAAGATACCAATTGTCCCCTTTGTTCCTCTGAAGGAGCCTAATGCAACAGTTAAGTTGTTTGAACTCACAACTTGGCTGTTTGAACCCAACAGGTCCACAACAGAAAGATCAGGCAACCTGCTTCTGTAAAGATTATAGCCTAGAAAACTCCGTGGGGGCAGCAGTTAGTCCCACCCTGTCATCTGGGGGTCAGTGTAAGTGGAAACTGATTAGACAATAATTGTTTCCTTTGCAGGAAGACTGTCCAGCTCCCTTTGAAATATACTTCATTTCTAAGGAAGAGACCCTCAACCCCAATGTTTTCCCTTTCTGGACAGAAGAACCATGGAAGAGTCTTCTCCAGACAGCAGATGAAGAATGCTCCTTAGAGAATCATAACTTACTTAGGGATGAAAGCCTTTTAGTTCAAGCTCAGTGGGTGCCAGCACCCCTATCCAAGTGCCTCTGGTAAACCACTTGGGAAGGCCACCCTGCTGGCAAGGGTGAGTGGAATGTCAGCAACTGAAGGAAGTTGAAGAAACAGTGTCTTCTAATTCCAGGAGACACCATGCTTCTTCTGCTTCTTTATTTTTTTAAATTTAGGAATAGCTTTTTGAGAACAAAAAAACCCTTTGTTTCTGCAACGTTAATTTCACCTTGTACATGGCTGTCCTTCTGAAGTTCACGAAGTCCACACTGGCATTCCTAGAGCTGGGCTTGGTCGTGCTCTCCAGAAATAAGAGCACAAGGTCTTGCTCTCTTCTCCATCACTCTCTTGCTCTCTGTTTATCTCTCTTCCTCCCTCACTGTTCCTTTTCTCTCTCCTTTCATCCTCTCTCACACACTTTCTTTTGTCTTGCTCATTCTCTTCTGTCTTGCTTTCCCCTCTATCTCTCTCTCACACACAACTGTACATATATTGTCTCTAAGCATAAATTAGCTTCTGAAGAAGAAATACTTTAGAAATGCTTCTTGCTCCCAGGTTCACACCACAACTACCTTGGCATATACATGATCACATATTTGACCATATGCTCCATCAAAAACAGAATTCAATCTTTCCAAGGTCAACTCCACAAACTCTTTTCTATATAAACACCGTTTCATTTTTCAGAACAGGATTATACTGTGCTCTTCTAACTCTCAGAAATACACCATTAAGTATCAGAGGGTAAAATACCTGTAAAATATTGACACATAATCATTAATGTCCCAGGATGTTGACATTCTGGGCCCAAAGATTGCATTTTCTACTGAGATCTTTTCAGAACTTCAGGACTTGATCCTTGATGAGCTCCAAGATGGACCTGTGTTCACTTGGATTCCACTCCAACTACTCAACCATAGCAAAATTCAGTATGTCAAATATTAGAATTGTCATTCCTATTTGTAATTCTCAGGCATGATGTGACTTCTCAGATGGATGTAAAGGTGTGGCATCTTGCCTCACCATACTTGGCACGCATAAGTTCAGTGTTGATGTTGCCTTTAAGGGGCTGTGACCCAGCACCTTCATTTAGTGCTGCATTTGAAGCTGAAGCAATGGTTTCCAGTGCTCATAAAACATGACACTTATAATTTTTGAACTATCAGTTGAAACATATAAGTAACAAAAAGTCCCTATTATAGCTGAAACTGAGTGGGAAATGCAATGAGCGTGGAGTCAAACATAAAGTTTCTTTATTTTGAGTCCCTTTCAGAGATGATTTTGGGTTAGTCAGACAAGGCCTGGACATCAATTTACTCATCTGTCAAATAAGGATATGCCTCCTGGGCTTCTGAAGGACATCATGCTTGGTAAAGTGGAGGGTCCATGGAAAAGAAGAAGACCCCCAATGAGATGGACTGAATACCATAGCAGCAACAATAGGCTCACCCATGACAACTGTGAGGATGGTGCACGACCGGGCAGTGTTTGGCTTCGTTGTGCACAGAATCAATTTGATGGAACCTAACAACAAGTATAGGGATTGTTGGGTTATTGGATGGAAAAGGACTTTCTGCATGAGAAAGTACTAGAAAACAAGAGCTGTCCTATGACCCTGTGTTTGACGTCGGAATTCTGACTCAAGGGGACCCCACGTACACTGGAACCAAGTGCTGCCTGGTCCTGCGCCATCCCCTTGATTGGCTCTAGATCTGTAATAGCAGCTTTTCAGAAGTGGATCACCAGACCTTTCTTCCTAATCCTTCTTAGTCTAGAAGCTCTGTCAAAACCTGTTCAGAATCTTAACAGCATTCAAGCTGCCACTGATAACACAGGTCATGGCTGCACATGAGTGTCATTGACTCGGAATCAAACTCAGGTCTCCCAAGTAAACATTCAGGATTCTACTGCTGAACCGCCTCCGTTATATTATGCATCATTTAAAAGAAATGGTCCTTTCTTTGTGCTGAGATTTTATGCTCTTTCCTCAATATATATGAGGTATTGTCATAATGGAAATCAACTTTACATTTCAAAGCTGCATCATATCGAGGTGAAATGCTTTTGAGTGCTAGGGATAGTTCTGCATTTGATATTACATTATACGTGGCAGCTGCATTTTCATAACAAACCCAGGAAGGTTAGTAACAATGGGAAGCATCAGAATTGTGTTCAATGCAAGTAAAGAAGGAATAAGCATGAAGAAAAGGGATGAGGAGGGAATTCGATCTATTAACAAAGACAAATAGATTGGATATACGCTGCACTGCTTGGCCACTAGCTGACACTCTCCCTCCATAGAAACATGAGACAGCATTAATTCCCAAGCAATAAAAAACCCAGATGAATTCTGCCATATGTGGGGGCAAGACTCCCCACTCACCAAGCTCTCATGCCTGGGGAATAGGACTGAACAACGCATTTTCAAAGAGTACTTGGTAAATATACTACCAATTTTATAACCCTTATCCTCAACACAAAGGAGCTCTGGTAGCGTAGTGGTTACGAATTGGGCTGCGAACCGCAAGGTCAGCAGTTCGAAACTACCAGCTGTTCTGCGGGAGAAAGATGAGGCTTTCTGCTTCCATAAAGATTTACAGCCTCGGAAACCCTGTGCAGGGTCAGAAACCCTGTGCAGGGTCGCTATGAGTCGGAACCGACTCCACGGCACATAACAACAACAACAACATCCTCAACACAAACATATTCACAAATGGCTGCAGAACACATTTTCTCAACATTGCCCAAACTTACCGTTCAGCGCCTCACTTTCTGAAACACTCTTTGTTGAAGTGAAATATTTTCCATGTTGCCCTTTCAATGCATATAAAAGCGGAGGGCAGGGCAGGGTAGGGCCGTCTCCTTACCTTGAGCCGTTCACCTGGTTGGGGTTACATTCCATCTTGATGGTGACCCTGGCTGGGGGTTGTGACAGCCAGTCCTGCTGAGGGACGCGGGGACTCATCTTGGACGTCTGTCCATAGTCATTGGAGGAGGATGCGGTCATCTCCGTCTTGGTCAGGTGAGGTGTTCCGTAGGCACACTCAAACAACGACTGGTCCTCACTCACGACCGATAATGCTTCCTGAATGTCAAAAGAGACACATACTCAAGACACCCCAAACAACAGTTATGTTCCAAGAAGTTCTTGACTTTAGAGATACTTCTATGGCAGGAAAACAACTTCTATCTAGGTTGTTTTAAAGGTATCGATTATTTCTCCCTTTCAGAAGCAGAAAAGGACCTTGTTGACTTCCCTTCAAACCATACACACTGGGACTGGCCAGTCTAGAAAATGTTTTGTGCAGGTCCTGAAGAAGCCGTGCAGATAATACCCACTGTAATCTTAACTTAAGGAAGTAGAATTTCAAAGGTCTTAAAAGACATCCAATTGCATGTGTCATTATTTGACAAATGCAATCTATAATTGAAGCAGACAGGGTACAAAACGGTCATGAAGATTAAACAAAGAAATGTGAAGGCCGACACCTATACATCTGGCACAAATGTCACAATCCCAGGAGATTTTGAGGAAGGGGTACTCAAACTAAGAGTGAGGGAAAATGGGAGTGCCAAAGGACAAACGGACAAAGGCAGGAATGTTTCCACTCTAAGTTGTATCTGAAATGGACTTTCAAGTGGTGCTTCTCTGATGGCAAACATCTGGATGATAAATGAGCAATAACTACAAGCTGTGAATTATCCAGATGTGTCCAAATGCCAGGATGTTTACAATATTTGGATCACTGTCTTTACTTTTTATTAATATGTTTTCTCTGTTACGTGGTTGATGAGAATAAATAGAAAATGGATATGGTTGGGTATGTCTTCCCGTGACTTTAGATGAAATAACTTGTATCATTGGGCTATTCTTGTATTCTAAATCCAAATCAGCAGAGGTGAACTTGATTTTGAGAGTTCAGCTACTCGAAAGACCCACTGTGCAGCAACTTACACAGACCAACCACGAGAGAATCCAATGTGGTTTTCTAGGACAGAAAAAATTATCTGTGTGATGGCATATTTTTATTTTAGTCCTTTGCAGGGATGGAATACCGATTAAACAAAGGGCTTATTAGGGTTTATTTAGTAATCTGGATTGAACAGCTTCACACTACACAGTACTAAGTAAACACAAGTAATCCTGTGCTTACCTTGCTTGCTGGGTACTCTGCCCCTGTCAAGGATTGTAAATCTGAACGAGGCTTTGATTCGGTAGGAAGGTGCTGGGGGGCTGGGAGAAAGACAGATGTCAGCCATACCCAGCAGCAGAATTGTTGATGTAGTGAAAAAAATGTGAAATTATTCACTACAGATTAGTAGTAAGTAAGCCCAGGCTTATCTTGCTTATTGGGTAATCTGACTCTCGACCTTTGGTGTTTTCAGTATTGCTATTACTTGGTGGGAAACCAGAGTTTCTGGGTGGTGCAAATGGTGAACACGGTAGACTGTTAACTGAAAGGTTGGAGGTTCAAGTCCTTCCAGAGGATGACTTTACAGCAACTGGTTTAGATGGACTCCCCATTTTCTTTTTCTTTTTTTTTTTTTAAGCCTTTATTGTAAATGGAGTGATAGTTTACATGGGAAAACATCGGCTTTACACCATTGTTTCATTATAATCATTACAATGTCCTCCGTGCTTCATCATTCAATAGTATTTGCTTCCATTCTCCCACCAAGGGGTGGGGGGTTGTACACAAAAATACTCAGGGATATATAATAATTTAAACAACCAAAGGGCACATTCTGCAAGCCTCCCTCCTGGCCACCAGCTCTCTGTCCCTCTCTTTCCATGAGTCTAGAATCCTCAGCTGCTCCCTCTCTCCATGTTCCCATCTCTGACTCCATCTCTGGTGTCCTGCTTCTCTGGATAGGGTCCTACATTCTACTTGTGCTCTTCTCCCTTGATGGTCCTAGGGTCTTCTGTTTCTGGAATGTAAGATTAACTACTTCTCTGTTTTTGTTACAAAACTTCCACAGTTACAGTTGTGATAGTTGCAATTAGTCATGACAGCAATTACTCACTTTTGAATCATAAGAATCTTATCCCCATCTCTTTTTACCAGATCCAACTAGACAAGATGAAAACTATTAAGTGGGGACTCTACCTGCCCCTGCACACTCTGAAACTAAACTTCCTCTTGAAACCTTGTAAGCCAGTCACTTCCTGCCTTTATCGCCCCCTCATTTTAGGTATCCAATGTCTAAGTTGCCCATCCCTATCAGCCCTGTATACTGAGGGGATAGGGTTGATACTTGATGTGAAGGCTCCTTCCCTTTCTGTTGGTACTTTGAGCTACTACATCCATAAGTATGACTACCATTTTTTTTTTTTTTTAATAGAACTTTGAGCCCAGAGGAAACCGTGAAAATCTTCTCGTCCAATGTTCTCATCATCATGCGGAAATATATATAAGATGTAATAAATCCAGATGTACTTTGAAGTGAACTGGCCAAGATCAACCAAGGAATTAGTGACAGAGCTTACGTATATTCTGTTTTCCCTCCTGCCTCTGCTCCTTACAAGGTTTCACTTGCACCTTTTGATTTAAGACCTGTGTTTAAATCAGTGCTACCTTTTTATTCTTTCAGTTGACCTTCAAATAATAAAGGATTTAAATGCTCTTAATCAGTAATCCACCACTTGTCTGTTGGTCTGTCACACTGTGATAGCTTGCATGTTGCTGTGAGGCTGGAGCTATGCCACTGGTATTTTAAATCTCAGCAAGGCACCCATGGTGGACAGCTTTCAGCGGAGCTTCCAGACTAAGACAGTTTAGGAAGAAAAAGGTGCAGACTACTTCTGAATGGTTACCCACTGAAAACCTTATGAATAGCAGCAGACCACGGTCAGATGTACTGCCAGAAGATGAAAAAACTGCCAGAGAATAGTAGCAAAACGTTGTCAGCTATAGTGCCAGAAGATAAGCCCCTCAGGTTGGAAGACAAAGTACTACTGGGGAAGAGCTGCCTCCTCGAAGTCGAGTTGGCTATAATGACATGAATGGTGCAAAGCTTTTGGGACCTTCAATTGTTGATGGGGCACAATAAAATGAGGGGAAACAGCTGAATAAGTCCAAATAATAATCAGAACATATAATGTACAAAGTATGAATCTATTGAAATTAGAAGCTGTCAAAAATGAAATGAAATTAAATAGAGATAAATATTCTAGGCATTAAAGAGCTGCTTAAAACTACCAGCGGTTCCATGGGAAAAAGATGAGGCCTTCTGCTCCCATAAAGGTTTACAGCCTCAGAAACCCTGTGCAGGGTCACTATGAGTCGGGACCAACTCCATGGTACTTAACAACAACAAGAACAATGGACTGGCTCTGGCCATTGTGAATCCAACAACCGTATGGTTTCCTATGCCAGGAATAACGCATTCTAGACAAATGGAGTCATATTCAGTGTCAAAAAGAACATCTCAAGATCCTTCTTGAAGTACAAGGTTGTCTGTGATAGGATAATATCCGTATACATATGGAATCAAGGTGTGGTAGGTAGGATAAGCATTAGACTGCTAACCATAAGGCCAGCAGCTCAAACTCACAAGCTGTTCTTTGGAAACCCTATACAGGGTACTTATGAGTCGTAACTGACTCAACAACAACACTTAACAACAACAAAACAAGGAAAATCAGTTCATACCATTATTACTCAAATTTATGCACAAACTGAAGAATTCTATCAATTTCTTCAGTTTGAAACTGATCTACCATACAATCAGTAATTATGGGTAATTGGAATTCAAAGGTTGAAAAACAAAGAGGAAGGACTGGTAGTTGGAAAATATGGCCTTGGAGATAGAAATGATGATGGAGATCACTTGATAGTATTTTGCAAGACCAACGACGTAGTCATTGGAAATACCTTTTTTAAAACAACATAAAAGGTGACTATAAAAGTAGACTTTACCAGTTGGAATACGCAGACTACATCTGTGGAAAGAGATGGTAGAGAAATTCAGAGTATCAATAAACAGAACAGTGCCAGGGGCAGACTGTGAAAGAGACCATCAATTGATCACATGCAAGTTCAGGCTGAAGCTAAAGAAAACTAAAGTAACTCTATGAAAGCCAACATATGACCTTGAATATATCCTACCTGAATTTAAAGACCATCTAAAGAACCGATTTGATGCATTAGACACTAAAATCCGCAGACCACAAGAGTTGTGGAATGACATCAAGAACATCATACAGGAAGAAATGAAAAGGCCGTTAAAAAGACACGAAAGAACGAAAAGACCAATGAGGGTGTCAGAAGTGACACCACTTCAGTATGTTGTTGTTGGTGTTAAGTGCCGTCGAGTTGGTTCCGACCCACAGAGACCCTGAACAGGGTTTCCGAGGCTGTAAATCTTTACGGGAGCAGAAAGCCTTATCTTTCTCCCGCGGAGTAGCTGGTAGTTTCGAACTGCTGACCTTGCGGTTCACAGCCCGATTCATAACCACTACACTACCAGAGCTCCTTGATGTTGTTATGTGCCATCAATTCTGACTCACAGTCACCCTGTACAGGGTTTCCAAGGAGTGGTTGGTGAGTTTGAACCACTGACTTAGTGGTCAAACCAACATTGCAGTCCAGTGCTTATCCTAAAGCACCATACCAGGACTCCAGCATACAGAAGCTAAAATGACTGTAAGAAATGAGGAAGTAAAAGACCTGAGTAGAGAATTTCAAGGGCAGCTAGACAAGACAAAGTCAAGTATTATAAAAAAAAATATGAAAAGATGTGGGGTTATAAACCCTAAAAGAGGAAAACACTCAGAATTTCTCAAGCTGAAAGAATTTAAAAAATCAAGTCTTGTGGTACAATAATGAAGGATTTTATAGGGAAAATAGTGAATGAAGCAGGAAGCATCAAAAGAAGATGGAAGAAGTATACAGAGTCACTGTACCAAAAAGAAATGGTCAATGTTCAACCAGAGGCAGCATATGATCAAGAACCGGTACTGAAGGAAAAAGCCCATGCTATCCTGAAGGCATTTGCAAAAAACAAGTCTTCAGGAACTGATGGAATACAAATGGATAAATTTCAACAAACTGATGCACTATCTCATCTATGCCAAAAAATATGAAGGCA